GAGACCAAAACCTCATAACCTAAAGGCTCTACTTGAATTCGGGCTTAACGAACAACGATAACGATATAAAAGGAATGCGTTGAGCCCGAATCAAATATAGAATAAGAGAAGTAGCTATAAATAGGTAAAGTACCTGTCGCCACCGAGCTGGCATTCTCCGCTACCTTGCTCATCGTGGCAAAGGCTTTATGTAAGGATTCGAATTTTTGTTTTATTTATTTTAGATTTTATGCTAAGATTTTATTTTTGCTGCCAAAACGAAAAGATATTATGCTACATTTATTGTCGCCGGAAAAGGTATGATTTCTAGCAAGGAAATTACTGCCTTAATGGAAAAGTTATAGAGACCTTTTATATTCCCATACTCAACTCTCCTCCTTCCTTGGAAACAACTTTTGCTCTCCAAACGTTTAGGGTTTTCGAGGGTGTCTGAGAGTACGGAAAAATCGAGAGGGTTAGCCAGGAAAAACGTGTGAGGTGGTTCGCTGGATTTTCTTCAGTGAGTGGCCGGAGGGAGAAGCAACCGAGGCTATCGGTGTTGAATATCGTTGCGCGTCGGTCGGAATAGGCGGGGGGAATCGGGGTTGTGACGTCGCCGTTGGCGGCGCAGCGACGATTAGGGTTTTCGTGAGATTTCGGGTAAGGAAGACGAAGGAAAACGGGTCGGGTTCACGTTCGGCCTCTGTGCGTTTCGGCCCAACGTGGACGCGCGCTGCAGCCTTGGTCTCGGCTCCGCACGCGTGCTCTCGGCTCGGCTTGACGTGTACAGCGGCTCGGCTCCGTCAAATCCCGCAGCTCAGCTCAGCGGCTTAATAGGTCGGCTCGGCAGCTCAGCTTGGTGAATCGGTATCACTATAATATATCGATTCCAGCGGCTTAATAGGTCGGCTCGGCAGCTCAGCTTGGTGAATCGGTATCACTATAATATATCGATTCCAAGGTCTTAATAGGTCGGCTCGGCAGCTCAGCTTGGTGAATCGGTATCACTATAATATATCGATTCCAAGGTTTTTGGCCCTTCCGAAGCCGTTTCTGCCCTTAGTTTTACCATCCGAGGTCAGTATGGCTCATAAACGTTAAAGACAGATTTGGTCGAAGGTTTATTTTGATAAATAGCATGAGGTTTAGCTAGGGTACCTTATGAAAGGTTCTAAATTTTTATGTGGTTATCATAGGACATATTTAACCACTGGGATTAGCTCGTCGTGAGTGACTTCAACGAAGACCATCGAGGTAAGTGACCTTACTGTTGGAGTTAGCTTTCTACGTGTTGTATGATGGTGCGTGCCCTGTGGCCCCTGCATGCACCATATTTTATGTGATATGATTATGTGATGTATAGATTTTGTCGACCGTAGATTGTGTATGTTATGTGAAGTATGAACTTGTGTTGACTGTTGACGGTTTATGTTATGTCATGAATGAGATGTTAGTATTATATGCCATGAATATGTTGATTGATGTCATAGAGTTTATGTTATGTCATGAATGAGATGTTAGTATTATATGCCATGAATATGTTGATTGATGTCATAGATTTTATGTTATGTCATGAATGAGATGTTAGTATTATATGCCATGAATATGTTGATTGATGTCATAGATACAATGTTATGTCATGAATGAGATGTTAGTATTATATGCCATGAATATGTTGATTGATGTCATAGATACACGTATATGTCATGAATGAGATGTTAGTATTATATGCCATGAATATGTTGATTGATGTCATAGATACACGTAGAATTCATGAATGAGATGTTAGTATTATATGCCATGAATATGTTGATTGATGTCATAGATACACGTAGAATTATCGAGTCATGTCATGAGATGTTTATGCAACTGGAATGTTTATGTAATATGCCATGTAAGGTAAGTCATGTGAGATGCCATGTGATGCAAGAAACGTAAATGTGATGTTAGCACTGCTTATGTAATGCCATGTTAGATATGTTAAGGGACCTCATGCATATATGTATGTCACGTGCATCGGGATTCTTCCCCTTTATGATACGAAAGAATGAAATACGATATTTATGTTCGCCGTGATATCATGCGGGCCCTTTTCTATTCTGTGGTGTCCGGCTACGTGTAACACGTTGTGCCCGACCAAGTCAGGCCCAGGGGGTATGTATAAGAGCCCGCCTGGTGGGTTCATGTACACGTACATGGGCCATGTGTGAAGGAGTACCACACATCCAACCCTACCCGGAATAGAAAAGCGCCCAAGGCTATGAAAAGTTTATGAAAAGTCAGGTCCCGCTCATATATTGCATGTGTTTGCATTCCTAACCCCAACAGTGGGGTGACTTACTGAGTATTTCATAAAATACTCAAGCCACGTGCTACCTACAGTTTTCAGGTAAAGGCAAGGCGCCAATGTACGGTTGACGGTGGAGCTGAGGCCACCATGGAAGTTGGAGACGTGATATTTTTAGGAGTTTACTTTCATTAGATTGTTTTAAGTTATAGGATTGAGTATCGTTTTATTTGGATTTATTTTGAATTCAGTATTGAAGGTTCATTTTCGGAGTTTAGGTTTTGTTTTGGATTCATGAATTTTTATGAAAGACTATTTCAAGGTTATTCATGATGAGCTTCCGCTTAATGAGATAAGTATGCATGGGTGACGTCACTAATTAGGTTAAAGAAAATTAGGGGCGTTACACTTTACCTCGAAACTGATGCTATCCTCCAGCACTCGACTGACCTCCTTCTCCTCCTAGAGCGGCCTCTCGCACATACCACACTAGGATTCTTTGCATTACGACACACTTTGGCAAGATGGTCGCTCTTACCACAATTATAACATGTCTTGTTTACGGCAGTATAGGGTCCCCCCTGCATCAACCCACATTTTCCACATATTGCCTTCCTATCACCTAAAGAAGACCGACGATCTACTTGTCGTTGTACTGCCTGATGTTGCAAACTTGAGAATATCTAAGTGAATTTTTGCTTACTACTTGGTCGTTCCTGACCGTTGGAACTTTAATTACTCTCCAGGGTGGCAGCATCTAATTCCACAGTAGAGCATTATAAGCAGTAACAAATTTTAAAAAGCATGGGCAGACACTAATCCCTACATCTCTGTCCTCAAACCAAGGATAAAGAGATTTGTCTTTTCTTTCTCAGTAGGATCCATATGAGGAACAAACCTGGATAATCGTGTGAACTCCACTTCATACTCCTCTATTGACATATTACCCTGCTCCTGCTGCATAAAGACCTTTCGGTTTCATAATTTTACTAGAGCAGGATAGTACTTCTCACAAAATTCATGTTTAAATGCCGCCCATGAAATTGGGACTCCACTGGCCTCCATCTTTGGTTCTTTGGTTTCACCAAAAATGGGTTGGTCCCTCCAACATATACATAGCGCACAGTATCTTATGACTCCCTGGACAGTTGAAGAATGTAATTTTGTTTCAGTACATTCCAGCCACCATTCAGCTGCCTAAGGATCAGTCCTCCTTCCTCCAAGAGTTGGCGGGATAAGTTTCATAAAATCTCATATGTATTCACTTTCCTTCGTCATACATCATCGCCCATAAGTTACTACCCGTAGTGGTGCCTCTGTCACTACCGCTGTACCAGGTAGCTCCTTCGAAATTGTTGGAGGTATCGCTACCTGAACACCTACTTGTGCTTCAGGCACTAGAGTCACATGGCTAGGTACAGGTGCTGTCGGAGCCGCCCACCTTCAAAAACCAGCAAAAGCTATCTGTACCACCTAATCCACTCGGCTCTGCACCGCTTGATTCACTTAACTTTGAATCAGCGATTGCAAGGCCTCTAGAGTAATAACAACAGTCGGCTGATCTCTAGATGCCGACTGAGAAGTAGGCTCCGGAACCACCACTGCTGGAGCAGTTCCTTCTATAGGCTGCCACTCAATCCCCAGGTCCACATTGGACATTCTAGGGTCTAAACATTTTAACACTACCATATCTGTTATACACATAATTAAGTATTCATAATCAATTCTTTTAAACTTTCATACTTCTTTCATACAATTTAGTCATGCATCACTTACCTGACCGAAGTGAGATACCGTTGAGCTGGACTAAAGGGATCCATACTGTCTATTCTAGACTGTCTACAGAACCTATAACCTAGGCTCTGATACCAACTTGTAACGCCCGCTCATCGTCAACGCGATTAACAGGAGTTACCATCATCAACGACAACATACTCTAACACCCAATCATAATCTCAAAATATTTCAAAACAAAAAAAAAAACATCCAGTAAAACATTTAAAACCAGTGCTATTTAAACTTAAAACAACCGAATAAATTCTTGACAGCGAAAACATAAATACACAAAACAGACACAGACATGGATTCCCAGTAGTCTTCAATCCGCTGGTCTCGTCCTCGGTTGGCCTGCATCATCTAAATCTGGAAAGAAAAGTTATAATAATTTTGATGAGTAATTAGATTACTCAGTAAGTAGCTAGCTTATCATTCAAGAGTTCATAACTAATCTTTCCAGGTGTTTTTAAGTTTTATTCATCATTGACTCCTAGTTCTCTTACTAGGGTCATTTGTTCGTTAATGAGGTATCTCAGCTACCTCCAGCTAGGTTACTGACTCTCTCTCGATATGCTTATCTAGAATTTTCGGACTCGTATGTAAGACTCGCTCTCGGTCAAATACGGCCCGTCTACTAATTGCTCTGGCGGCCTGTTTATCTCATATACCAGCGGTCAGGAGTACTCATGCTCCCTGACTTAGCACACAGCGCGTTGGCCAAGAACTCCGCGGGAATTAGTAGACTATCATACTCATACAAATAAGCCATAGCTCAACAACCAATAAGCATATCTTAGAGTCATAACCTTTCCATTAACATGCATAACATACTCACAGTTACTGCATGCTTTCATACATGTATCATGTTCAACACATAGAACATTCTGACAATCATTTATATCATGCTTACATCACAGGCAAGCAGTCACAATAAACACTCAATATCATCAAAGCTCATCATAACATACTAAGCTCTTAATCAGGTAAACAACATACTCACATGTTGTAAAACAAGTTAAGAACCAGTTCAAAGGTTGATACGCTACTTACCTGGTTTCGAATCCCTTTCTCTCTTGATTGTACATTTAATAGGGTATTTAAACACAATTGCTTCCAATTAGACCTATATTTCACCATTTTCAAGGTAAGTATAGGTCAATCTAGGTAGAACAGGTCAAAACAAATCGAACGGGACAAACCGGGAACCGAAATGATGCTTCACGCGCCCTCACATCCTCGGTGTGTCTGTCCCACGCGCCAGTCGCACGCCCAGTCGCGGCCCTCACGCGCCTGCGTGTAGTGCACGCGCTTCTTCTTCTTCCTTGCGTTTTTCTGAAATTTTCACATCTTTTCTGTTAATACCTACTATATCCCGAAGCCATATCCTCCTTCTACGGTTCGAATTTCATCCTGATTCCTTCTACAAATTTATAGATCGCCTTATTACGTTTCTAACAAGCCCTATTTCATAACTTATTATACAATACGAACCAAGATATCAGGATTTAAAGGTTCGGTGATATGGGTTTTTCGTTACCTTTGCGACAACCGCTTAAATCAGCTTAGTTCAGAGCTTCAATGGCTGAAAAGCCTTCACAATCGTCTCCCCATCCTCATGTTTGCACGTTGTCACAACAAACGCCAAAAAAACCTTAAGGTTTTGCCGGAAAACACGGATTATAACACTCTCTGTTTTCTGTTTCCCTCTTCCTCTGTTTCTTCGATATTATTTGGTGCTTCCTCGTCGGCCTTGCCAACGCCAACCACCACCACCATCCATAACACTAACACAAAATAAAACCACCCTTCTTCATCCCACACCTCCATCTTCCTCTCTTTTCTTTCTTTTCCCTTCAACCACCTGTCCATTCTTCCTTTCTCCATGGCAGCAGCTTCAAGCTGCTGCTGTCTTTTTTTTTTTTTTTTTTTTTTTTTTTATTATTTATTTATTTATTTATTTTTATTTTTATTTAATTAATTAATTTATTATTTTCGGGTTATTACAATTCTATCCTCCTCTTAAAAACTTTCGTCCTCGAAAGTTCCTAACTCTAAGAACAAATGTCAATATTCGAGTTTTAACTCTTCTTCTTGTTCCCAAGTAGCTTTCCAAAATTATTGCTTCTTTCATAAAACTTTAACGGAGGTAATGTCTCTACTACACAAAAATCTCATCTCCCGTATCAAAATCAGCTTAGTTTAAAGCTTCAATGGCTGAAAAGCCTTCACAATCGTCTCCCCATCCTCATGTTTGCACGTTGTCACAACAAACGCCAAAAAAACCTTAAGGTTTTGCCGGAAAACACGGATTATAACACTCTCTGTTTTCTGTTTCCCTCTTCCTCTGTTTCTTCGATATTATTTGGTGCTTCCTCGTCGGCCTTGCCAACGCCAACCACCACCACCATCCATAACACTAACACAAAATAAAACCACCCTTCTTCATCCCACACCTCCATCTTCCTCTCTTTTCTTTCTTTTCCCTTCAACCACCTGTCCATTCTTCCTTTCTCCATGGCAGCAGCTTCAAGCTGCTGCTGTCTTTTTTTCTTTTTTTTTTTTTTTTTTATTATTTATTTATTTATTTATTTTTATTTTTATTTAATTAATTAATTTATTATTTTCGGGTTATTACAATTCTATCCTCCTTTTAAAAACTTTCGTCCTCGAAAGTTCCTAACTCTAAGAACAAATGTCAATATTCGAGTTTTAACTCTTCTTCTTGTTCCCAAGTAGCTTTCCAAAATTATTGCTTCTTTCATAAAACTTTAACGGAGGTAATGTCTCTACTACACAAAAATCTCATCTCCCGTATCAAAATCAGCTTAGTTTAGAGCTTCAATGGCTGAAAAGCCTTCACAATCGTCTCCCCATCCTCATGTTTGCACGTTGTCACAACAAACGCCAAAAAAACCTTAAGGTTTTGCCGGAAAACACGGATTATAACACTCTCTGTTTTCTGTTTCCCTCTTCCTCTGTTTCTTCGATATTATTTGGTGCTTCCTCGTCGGCCTTGCCAACGCCAACCACCACCACCATCCATAACACTAACACAAAATAAAACCACCCTTCTTCATCCCACACCTCCATCTTCCTCTCTTTTCTTTCTTTTCCCTTCAACCACCTGTCCATTCTTCCTTTCTCCATGGCAGCAGCTTCAAGCTGCTGCTGTCTTTTTTT